AATATTCGAGTGCGGTGGCTCAGGAGAAGACGTACTTAACCCTGATGGCGATGAGGCAAGGCGAGAAGGAGTCACTGCGCAAATACGAAGCCCGATACAACCAGGCTTGCTTGGAGATCCCGTCGGCGGTCGATGAGGTCAAGGCGGGGGGTTGATTAGAAGTTTACGAGCGGGGCCATGTCGGACCTCTCTGACCAAGACCCCGGCTCATACTTATGATTAGGTGTTGAGAAGGTGTAGGAAATATATTAACCTCAAGGAGACCGAGGCGGAGTTTGCTAAACTCGAGGAGTTAGGTCGCGTGGAGCCGAGGAAGGAGAAAGCAGTTTTGCCCAAAAGGAGAGCTTCGCCCAGGAGAGAGGGGCGAACTAAGCAGGATCGGGGACGCGAGGACAGATGGAAGGACCGACCTATCTCTGGAGGAAAGAGATTTTATGATTATACCCCGTTGAATGCGAAGGTAGTCGAGGTCTTGATGGCTATAGAGAAGGGGATAGATGGGAAAGATGTGAGGTGGCCGAGGTCGAGGTTCGAAGGGCCAACTCAATCGAAATCGAGGAGATATTGCCGCTTCCACAAGGACTATGTCCATACTACTGAGGATTGTCGACATCTCAAAGACGAAATAGAGCGCCTTATCCGAGCAGGGCATCTCAAGGAGTTCGTTTATCAGGATAAAATGAGGGGAAAGGAGAAGAAGAGGTGTCGGGAAGAGTCGGTAGAGAGAAGTGATGAAGATGATGAAGAGGATCCACGAGGTGATTGAGATGGTCGAAAGAGAGATGGGGGGAAGAGGAGGCGAGGAAGTAGAGAACGAGAGAGACAAGAAGAGGGAGGCCAGGTGAAGAGAGGCACGATATATATGATTTCAGGAGGACCGACAGACGGAGACTCGAATAATGCTAGAAAGGTCATGTTCGAGCGATGAAGAGGAAAAGAGAGGAGGTGGGTATCACGGCCCGAGTACCAGAAATTAGTTTTCGGGCAGAGGATGCAGCAGGGGTGGTGATACCTCATAATGATGCCTTGGTGATTACGGCAGAAGTAGTAGGTTTTGATGTAAAAATGGTGTTTATAGACACGGAAAGCTCGGTCGATGTAACGTTTTATGATTGCTTCGTGCAAATCAATCGGGAGTTAAATGTGGAGTTGAAGCCGGTGGCTACGGCCTTGTATGGTTTTAATGATGGAGAGGTCATGCCGATGGGGGAAGTGAGTCTATCTGTAGCCCTGGGAAAAGGAGCGACCCGGAAAGTTCGAATGGTAAGATTTGTGGTCGTAAGAGTTGAATCATCTTACAACATCATAATGGGGAGAACGAGATTGAACGCGTTCCAGGCGGTCGTATCCACGTACCACATGACGATCAAGTATCCGGTGGGCGAAACGTTGGTGAGATCACTGGGGATCAACTTACCTCGAGGAGCTGCTACCAGACCACTGTGAGCAATAACAAATAGCTAGCAAGGAGGTAGACGCGGCTAAAAGAAGAAGAGGTTGGTCGACCGGGAGGGTCGAGATCGAGGGAAGAAGGGCAAAGGTTGGAGAAGGGTAAGGAGAAGGTAGACATTCGCAAGGAGGCAAAGTGGAGGAGATCCAGATGATCGAGGGGTGTGAAGAGAAAAAGTTTCGAATCGGGAAAGAATTGGGGGAACCAGTGAGATCGAGGCTGATTAATATGATAAGGGAATTTGCGGATGTGTTCGCATATTCGACGGAGGAGTTGACTGGTATCAAGGCTGAAGTTATCGAGCACCGGTTGAATATCGACCTCACTGTGAGGCCGGTGAAGCAAAAGAGGATGCATCACGGGGCAGAAATGGATAAAGTGATCGAGCTGGAAGTAGAAAAGCTCTTGGTGGCAGGCCACATAAAGGAGATCCAATTCCCGGAGTGGCTGTCGAACACGATGATGGTCTCAGAGTCAGAGGGAAAGTGGCGGATGTGCATAGACTTTCGGGATTTGAATAAGGCATGCCCGAAGGACTTGTATCCATTGCCCAGGATCGACCAGCTGGTCGATTCCACGGCTGGATGTGAGCTACTCAGCTTGATGGATGCGTCGCATGGCTATCATCAAATCCGGCTGGCGCGGGAAGATTGGAAAATGGTCAGTTTCATGACAAGCCGAGGGACCTATTGCTATGTG